TTTTTATTGCAATATAGTTTTGGAGATGCACTTTCTAATAGCTGTTTATGTAAGTTTTGTTTTGGGATACCAGTTAGGTTGGTTTACATCTTTAACTGTTCATACCTTATAATTTTTCTTCCCCAGGCTTTTGCTGTCATTGCTGCATCTCCATTGCACCTGGATCTATCATGCGTTTTAGAGCATGTAATTTCTGAGTTAACTGCATTTCTAAGGAAGGTATTTCCATTATACTCCAGAAATATTTCCAGCACAACTTTCTGAATTAGAGGAAAAGCTACTGAGTTTCTCTTATCCATTTGTAAAATAGGCTAATCGAGCTTTGAGACAGGCGACGCTGGGAACTCTAAATACTTTGATTGTTGCCTATGGTGATAAAATAGGTTCTTCCGCTTATGAAGTGATTGTTGTGGAACTTTCAACTCTAATAAGGTTAAACTTGTGTTTTTTAACTACGGATGTCTGTTTCAATAATTCTTTTCAGTTGCAGTTCACGTTCATAAATTTTTTGATATTTCATTTTTAAGTGACTAGTAATTAAAAAAGTATAAATTCTTCTTTGTGCTTTTCAGTGACTCAGACTTGCATATGACTGCTCTGGCATTGGAACTGTGCTGTACCTTGATGGCCGACAGTAGATCAGGTCCAAATGTTGGTTTGACCGTCAGAAACAAAGTTCTTCCACAGGCATTGACTCTAGTGAGAAGCTCATTGCTGCAGGGGCAAGCACTTCTGGTATTAAATTTTTTGTTGTATTGACTTAGTCGTGGTGTAAACTGTGAAATGTCTGCTTATTGTAAGTTTTAACCCTTACTCATGGACACTACAGGCGCTGCAGAATTTTTTCCGTGCCTTGGTTTACTCAGCAAATACTAGCTTTGATGTGCTGCTAGACTCCCTTCTTTCAACTGCAAAATCATCTGCCCAGTCTGGCGGTGTTGCAAAACAGGCTTTATTTTCCATTGCTCAATGTGTGGCAGTTCTCTGCCTTGCTGCAGGTGATAAAAAATGTTCATCTACTGTAAATATGCTCACAGATATCCTGAAAGCCGATGGTACTACCAATTCGGTATGTCTATATACTTGCTCCTTTCAATGCTTGCCTTAAATTGCTTGGATTACTGAAATGGAGATGTTTTAGATGAACTTTTTAATAAATGCTCAGATGTTATATTATTGATTTAATTAAAACTAGTTGTTGACTACAAACCTCTGCTTAATTAGTGCATTGCATTCAATTGGAAGATATAATTATGTAGTATGGTCAAGGACTCAGGATTCAACCTTCTCAACTAAGTTTGCCCTTTTTAGTAGCTACCTTGATTTTCAGAATCTAGCTGAAGTAACTTTGCTTATTTGCACCAGTCATCAGAAATTGGAAGATCTTGAGTTTACCCTGAAGTGGACATTATCCTATGAGTTTCTATTTGCTGATTGAAACACTATAAAAGACGGTTAGGTGTATGATTTGTCAGATACTTGTAGCCTGCCCTACTTATCCTAGTATCAGAACAGATAATTGGCTTCTTGATTCTGGCCAGCTATCTGAACTCGTGATTTTGATGGAAAATATCAGAACACTTCCAATATAATTTGGTGTTGGAATATGTTTTATATACTGCATTACATACAGCATGAGCTTGGGTTGTTTTGGACTCCTCTTTGAATATATTCAGCTGTCTATTATTTAAATTAAGTAGCAATCTTGTTGTTTTAAATTATTTAAGGAAAAATATGAGCTGCTTTCTGCCTTTCTGTTCTTTATTTGTAATTTGAGAGAATTCATTTTCAAATTTCTTTTTAATAAAGGGAATTTAACTGTGTTGTGTTGGATTTTATCCTCCCATCTGTATTACTGCTACTATTCTCTTCTTATTCGACATTGTTTTCTTATAGGCCAAGCAACATCTTTCCTTGCTGTGTTTGGGGGAGATTGGGAGGAGAAAAGATTTGAGTTCACATACCCATATAGAGAATATCGTTATCGAATCTTTCCAGTCACCATTTGAGGAGATAAAATCTGCTGCTTCTTATGCTTTAGGAAATATTGCTGTTGGAAATCTATCAAAATATTTACCCTTTATATTGGACAAAATTGATAATCAGCAGAAGAAGCAATATCTATTGCTCCATTCCCTGAAGGAGGTGTGCACTGGACAATAATTCTTTCAAGAAGAAATTCCCTTTTTAACCGGCATTTATCGATACTTCACATTCTTGCTGAAATTTCTCCCACATACAGGTCATAGTGAGACAATCCGTGGATAAAGCTGAATTTGATGATTCCAGTGTTGAGAAGATCACTAATTTACTCTTTAACCACTGTGAGAGCGAGGAAGAGGGAGTTCGCAATGTGGTTGCCGAATGTCTAGGAAAAATTGCCCTAATTGAACCAGGAAAACTTGTTCCAGCACTAAAGGTACCGTCTCAGAAATATATGTTCTTCTATCCATGTGTTCAATGCCTTATAAAAACTCTGCTAGATTTAATTATTTACTTTCATATAATTGTAGGAGAGAACAACCAGTGCTGCTGGATTCACCCGAGCAACAGTTGTAATTGCGGTTAAGTATTCTATAGTTGAGCGGCAGGAGAAGATAGATGAGATTTTGTACCCTGAAATCTCATCTTTCTTGATGCTTATCAAGGATCATGATCAGGCAATTTTCTTACAGTGATTAAAATATTTTTATATGTGCTATATCGATACACTATATCTTCTATCATTTTTCCATTTACCAGTATGTTCTGTGTATCTCTCTTGGATTTTCTGGTATTTTTCCTGGACCAAATTTGATTTATGTCAATTTTATATTGGTTACTGAGCAGCATGTAAGGCGTGCCGCTGTATTAGCCTTGAGTACCGCGGCCCATAATAAGCCAAACCTCATAAAGAGCCTGCTTCCAGAGGTTTTGCCTCTTCTGTACGACCAGACAGTAATTAAGGTAATCTATTATAAATAACATTTTTCTCTTGTTGTACCCTTACAGACTTAACTATTATATGCTTTACCAGTCCTTGCATTTCACTAATAATCTTTCCCTTAGAACGAGATTTTTTGGGTACAAAAGTAAGAAATTGCAGGACAATGTAATTATTCTGCAATATTGTGTTCTTTGAATTAGAAGCCAACGTTGTGGGTTATTTGCATAATAACTGTGAGCCTTAGGAATACTCTAAGCCCCCGTGTGGCCCCCATTAAATTACATTCTATTTTTCTCTCTCTTATTTTCAACCACACAATCTTTCATAAAATAATATTACACGTAAATCGAAAATTTTTCCTTCTTTTTCAACCTCTCATTTTTCAAAAAAACACTATTCCTCCCATTTTCATTACCCAAAAATGGGGGTCAAACAGGGGCTAAATTTATTGTGTTAACTGAATTTGTATAACATTGTTTCTCTCTGTAAAAATCTCTTCTAATGGAAAAGATGGAATATATTATCAAATAAAAACCTCCTTAAAACAATTTTTTGGTGGAATGAATTCAAATGAAATTGCTATCTGCTACTCAAGAAAATGGTGCCGCAACCAAGATTTTCTCTTTGAGAAAGTAACACTGCATTTCTTTCTTGCTAGGGGATCTAATCGTTCAGTTTCCTTTACTGTCATTTCCATCAGTAATTGAA